AGGCCACCTGCCAAACATATTGCATCATTTGGGTCAATGCCAATAAATGTGTTTTTCAAGGGCAAATGCATGGTTTAAACTGACAGAGCAAACTGCTAAACCTTCTGGTGTTGTGAAACTAATAATGTATATTAGCCATGGGTATCAAACAACTGAATCCATTTTTTTAAAAACTGAGCAGCAACAGTAAGCTGTGTGCATTATGGGATTTAAAGGTCCCCTGATAAATGCCTGCTAATGGATGAGCCAGTCTGAAGTGATATATACCAAAATTAACCTCAGCTGACTTCCTACTGCATGAGGATATTAAGTAATATAAATGTTTACAATACAATACGCATATTAAGTCATGACAAAAAAATTATATAATTGTCTATGAAACAATGACACAAGGATAAGTCATGGCATGCACAAGTCTTTAAAATTATGATAAGTGCAGGGCTCACAAAATTGCTAGCCCGACGTCCCGGGGCTATATGGTTACCAGAATGTATCACCTCCGTACTTCATCATTTGCACGTGTTTCTAAGTCTTGCCAATTTAAACATTCAAGCATTTTAAACCATTCAAGCACAAGAAGAGGCAAAAGAGAACTCAATTCGGTACTCGCGGGCTGTAAATTGTGTGCATCGGCTCAAAGCGCGCACAGAGAGAGCGGCGTTCCAGACAGCGCGCAAAAACAAAATTTATTCCTCTTTCACGTATCCTTGCACCTGATTGGACACATACACACAAAAGGATCTCAAAATAACTAATATTTCGTGCATTCGGTCTTAAAGGGGCAGCAGCCTATAAATACCTGCTGCAGTCTGTCAGCTTTAAAGATCTATAATTTATACAGTGATCATTATGCAGTGTTATTTTACACTTAATTACAAAATTTCTCTTAGGGCTGCATGATTAATAGAAATTAAATCGCAAAGGCGATAAATCGCGATTAGGCAGAAGCTGCGATTGTCATGCGCATCTTTCAGTGAAGCACGGTTCTGTGATCAGTAGTAATTCTCCATCCGAAGGCCAGAGGGCGCTCTCGGGCTGAAACTCCAAATACGCCTAGCAGAAGAAACCCAGGAAATGCCTATAGTTGTTGCTGAATAAACAGAAGATTTAACTGCTTTCATTAATTCAACGTGACTAATAAACACACGACTACGACAATATATGGTTTATCTGAGATCGTCTTGTTATAATTTTTATTATAATAAAGTATATAATAATGCAATACAAATCGACATAGCCTTTATCACTGCTTGGAATACTATGAAATATGTTGCGTGCCTTATTCTGTGTAAGAAGCCACATCATCTCACAGAAGGATTTATTTCAAATACTCGACTGACGTTATGAAGTGAGTTTGGAGTAAAAACATGTTATTAAACGTGGTATTTTCACGTGCTTTCAGATGGAACAGCATGTACTACACAGAGACATAGTTCACTGACAAGCTACGCAAAATCGCGTTCATAATCACAGACGATTTAATCACGCGATTATGAAATCGAAGAAATCCTTCTGCGATTATGAAAGCTGTTTGCGTAGCTTGTCAGTGAACTAGTAAACGCTGCTCCATCTGAAAGCACGTGCTGGAGATTTACTACTAATCACAGAACCGGCTTTACTGGCAAGATGCGCATGACAATCGCATTCGATTAATCGTGCAGCCCTAATTTCTCTACCTGAAAACTAATGTTAGACCTCATTTTATTTGTAACTTTGTTTTATTTTATTGATCTATGCTTGTAATTTGTTCATTTGTTCTTAATTTACTGACTACTGCTACTAGGGGTGTAACACTGCATGCTAGCCAGTTGAAATTCAATAAAAATATGTGACGATTCAAGTCGGTTGAGATGTTAAATGAATCGCGATACATTTGGTTGTGGGGGTTTATATGAATGTATATGGGGAACTGACTCTCTTCAGAAAAGTTTAGTTGGTATTTTCTTTTCATCTTGCCTCTGTTTAATGCATATTAAAGGGGTCATATGATGCAATTTAAATTTTTTCTTTCTCTTTGGAGTGTTACAAGCTCTTGGTGCATAAAGAAGATCTGTAAAGTTGCAAAGACTAAAGTCTCAAATCCAAAGAGATATTCTTTATAAAAGTTAAGAGTCAGCCACACTTACCTAAAAAGGCTCGTTCTAACACGCCCCCACATATCTACCTCACTATGTGGGAAGATTTGCATAACGCCGCCCAAATGTTCACGCAAAGAAAGAAGGCGTAACTTTTAGTCTCGCTGTAGTTTTGTTGACGCTGCAGCCATGTCGTGAAGACGCTGTGTGCTTCGTTGTGAAAGCGAAACTACATTGTTTGGTCTTCCAAAAGAGGACGATATCCGCTTCATCATGCCTAGAGCTGATCTGTGCTGGTCGCTGAGGAAATACATCAACTTTCACCGTGGACGAAGCGGAATCCAGCCCGGGGTCTGTCACATGTGGTTGCCGGTCATTCGTCGGATCTGTCGGGCGTGCCGTTCTCGACCCCGCCGCCTCAGTTCACTCTAGCCCGGCCTCAACTCACACTAAGCAGGGGCTCCCGCTCACGCTAGCCCGGCCTCAGCTCACTCTAGTCCGGCCTCAGCTCACTCTATCCCCGCCTAAGCCGGGGCTTCCCCTCACGCTAGGCCGCTGTGTCTTTCGTTGCGAAAGCGAAACTACTTTGTTTGGCCTTCCAAAAGAGGACACGACTACAAATCAGTGGTTAAGTTGTATTTACAACACTGTTCCAGAACAGTTTAACCTAAATATCCAGATGTGTGCAGCACATTTTATGGAGGACTGTTTACTGATCCTGGGAGAGTAACGTTAGACTAAAATGCCGGCAGTTCTGACTCACGTAAGTACGTTTTCATTTAAAGGATTTGCCACTGATGATTCAAACGTGAGTTTTGGGCAGTGTAGAGTAGCACTTGTTGTTTGTCATTTCTCTGATCACAAATGCAGACAGAGTTTTATGTTTACGCGGCGCGATGCAATGCAACGCAATGCGTAAAAAGACAGTATAAGTCATTATAATCAGTAATTATGTTCCCACTGGATGCAACAAATGCCTCGTTTGTAATGGGTTTGAATGTTTTTGTCTCGTCGCTCCGGCCGGGACACGGCATCAACAGTATGTGAGGGGCGTAACATTTCCGTCTCACGCTTGAGGTATTCGGCCAATCACAACGCACTGGATAGCTGGCCAATCACAGCACACCTCGCTTTTTCAGACCAATGAGCTTTGTAAAAATCGACGCGTTTCAGAAAGGCGGGGCATAGAGGAGAAACAATAATGTACAGTATGTGGAAAATAATGTGGTTTTTATACTTTAAACCGCATTAACACATTTCAATACACCAAATACACCAAATAAATGTTCTTTTTAGCAACATCATATGACCCCTTTAAAGTAGTGCTTTGTTTACAGCGGTAACCAAGGAAACGCAGTATCTCTGCTGTTCGAAAAAGCGCCACCTGCTGTCAGAGAGTGGATTTGCTCTCTCATTCAGCCGTCTGCTGTTTCTGTTTCGTGCAGATACGTTTTATGTCAAATTATTTCACGAACCTAAAATCAGACCATTCTGTTTTTGCTTCAGATGTCGAAATTATACAGTCTAATTACAATCTAAATAACATATATGCAGCATCTTTGTTTGGATCGTGATTAGTGGTTGACTAATTTTCAAAGAGCACAGGCAAAGCCTTAGTTTGTTTATATGAAGAGATTTCTTTTATGTTGTTTTAATTTATTTTAAATTTTAAAATTTCAATTTAGTTTTGTTATTTGACATATTTCAATTTAACAAAGAAATGTGCAGAATTTTGTCTGAGAAATGATAAATGAACACCTTTTCATTTATAATATCTTAAATCTCCCTGTTAAAAAAAATATGTGAGAAAATCTTATTGTGAAATCAGTAACGTGAATCATAGGCTATCGCATCGTGAGTTGAGTGAATCTTTGCATCCTTATAAGCTACTACTGTAGTTTTTGCTGTGGTATCAATAAGTAGCCTAAAGTGTTCTTTAAATAATAAGGGTCATTTAAATTGAACATTTAAAATTTAAATTTATTTAAAATTTTTTGCTCATCTGAAAAATAATCCGATCTGTGACTCAGAAATCTGTAATATGATCCGAGCCGTGAGTTTTGTGATCCGTTGCACCCCTACTCTCTTGACCTGTTATTTGAAGAAAAAAATACAACCACAGAAGTTTTTGATCATGCTGATTTGTCCGCAGTGAAGTTCACCCGATGTCCTTTTTATTCGGGCTAGTTAAATTAATTTTGGGATATCAAAATCTGAAGAATGCCTGCCCGAAAGGCTACCAGGGATTTAGAAATTTTGCGAGCCCTGTAGTGTATATAAAATATTAAGTCAATGACAGTAAGACCACAACTATATAGTCATGCAGCCTAAGTCACTTTGATTTAATAAAAATATCAATAGTCAGTACCTTTAAAACAAAAACAACAGGGATAAGCGAATATATTTAAAATGATAAGACATGGTATTAAGTAAATCAAACGTCTGTAGGCTAATAAATAATTAAAAATATTAAGTCATAACCTCAAAAATGTAAATACGCTTAAAATGATATTTATTCAAGAATAACAACGTGTACTTCCTATTTTAATAGGCTACCTTTTAAAATAGGTCAGACTGTGTCCCTAATTTAACCTTTAACAATTCCACATTTGATAGAATTGTTATTTAGCTATTTTATTTTTAAATATTGACTAAGGTAAGATAATAAATGAAAACTCACAAACAATAGCCTACAATAAGGGTCTGCCACCGTTACTATTACGTTTTTTGTTTTTTTTTAAATAACTGCCTTATTATGCTGTAATGATAATGATCTTTTGTTTGGGCTCCATCCTCACTACAGTAGTATACACCAAGAGCGACACCAATTAGCCTACATCTACTGTCCCTTTAAATCCAACAAAGCCAGAATATTCGAGAGGACAAGAGAAGCATAATGCGTAAACACATGTATCCCCCACTTACCATTATCAGCGACCAAGTCATAGACATTTTCCCAGGCATTGTCCCCGTGGAATCAGTCTTGTTTAAATATGCCCAGGTCCACATCTGTTACTTCATAGGTGGAGCATCAGCATCTCCGCATCAACAGGACACCCACATTGTTGTGAGGTATTGTCCCTTTGCTGGCTTATTCCCTCAGTGTACAAATTTCGTCCACTGACGCCTTTTTATAGTCTGTGCCCCGGAGTGCACGGGTTTCAAGTAGTACGGGATAAGCGCTTCGTTTTGGAAGAAGAACGCTATAATTCCCATAGCGATGATGGATGGATCTGTGGACTGAAGTCTGGCTGCTGTTTGTCCAGGTTACGGATTCCCTGTGCCGCAAAGACGGGCTGCGGATGATGGGCGGGTACTAGCGACACACGTCACGACCGAGATCCGCCACTGGCTGCTTGTCTGCGCCGCACGCCGTATCACAGGCCTGATCCGAGACCGTTTCCGGGAGGATACTGGGGGTGTCGTGGTGCAAGCGTAGTCTACCCTACAGGGTGTTAGACTAACAGATAGTATGACTAAAGGTGTTACACAGGTGTAGCCTACCGTACGCCCACACGAAGGTAATTATTATCATTGTGGCAAATCATTACAGTAAATTGGACAATGTGACTTAAACTTAACCTTATAACTTATATAAAGTTAATTATAAAAGGTCTGTATAAAATGTATAAATGCAAAAACATATATAAGGTAACATGCTGAATAAAAAATCCATATTTTGTATAAAATTGTAGGCTATAAATTACATTTTATGCAGTGCTATACCTAACAATTTAAACTGTTGCAACTCGCTATATATACATAATTTGTGTATATCTAGTAAAAATCGAAGAAATTTCAAGTCATAATAATTAGTAATCTTGTCATTTTATTATAATATGAGTATATGTACAAATAATATATACACACACACACACACACACATAAAATGTCTATAAAATTATAAAAATGTATTTATTAAAACAAAAAAATACAGGTATAAAAATACATGTAATAAGAACTATATATAAGGTTTTAAAATATAAAAATATTACATACGCTGAATAAAAAATACATTTATATTTACATTCAATCGTATAATTTATGGTGTGAAATAATTACATTTTACAGGGCAAAAATAATACAAATATTTTTACACATGACTTTTATTGTCACCTCAGAGTGGTGGTCATATATGAGTGATCTCACCCTTGTAGTTAACTTTTGCTTGGTTAAACTGATGGTGTTTCAACTCACTATTATAGTTATACACACAAATATACACAACTTAAAAATATAGAATTATTACTATCATTATTATATATACATATATACATGTATGTTCACACATGTATATATGTATATATACATACAGTACGTGCATGTATGCCTATGCCTACACTGTCCAGTCTCATTTGCATTATTGTTTGAAAGAAATTACCTCATCCAAACAGTCATTCTCTGGCCTCAGACGTATGCAAACAGCATAAGGCTCTTTTGTGTCACTGGCACAAGGAAAGGAGATCATTTCCAGTGTATCTCAGACAGGCAGAGCTCAGAGCACACTGGCAGATGAAGAGCACACCATCTGGCATACACTCTTAAAAATGAAGGTGCTTCAAAAGATTCTTCAAGCGATGCCATAGAAGAACCATTTTTAGTTCCACAAAGAACCATTCAGTCAAAGGTTCTTTAAAGAACCATCTCTTTATTGCCTTTTTATAATCTCAAGAACCTTTTTTCGCCACAAAGAACCTTTTGTGAAACAGAAAGGTTCTTCAGATGTTAAAAGTTCTTTATGGAACCATTTAGACAAAAAGGTTCTTCTATGGCATCGTGAAGCACCTTTATTTTTATAAAGGCCTACACGTGCATCTGAGAGCTAAAAGGATGAATCGGGGAAATGCTTTCACGTGCCATACAGTTTCTGCCCCGGGAGCTCACTCTAAGTGGGTTAGTGAGTTGGACGATGGGCTAAGAGAAAAGCCTTGGTCTGACTAACATTAGTGCATGCTTGCTGAAATATACCACAGTTTGTGCCGCTGTGCAATCACACACCACCTAGTGCTTTAAACATATAATATTTCACCAGCACTGTGGACTGAAAGCTTTTAAATGTTACAAAATTTTTATTACGTGTGCTACAGGATATTAAGGGATGAATCTGTAGTTCTAGAGTTCAGATCATGAATATGTCTGAAGCTGCACAGCCAAATTATATTTTATAATTATATGTCGGTTATTAATATTTAGAACGGAAATACTCAAACACAGTTTCTGCCCCGGGAGCTCACTCTAAGTGGGTTAGTGAGTTGGACGATGGGCTAAGAGAAAAGCCTTGGTCTGACTAACATTAGTGCATGCTTGCTGAAATATACCAGTTTGTGCCGCTGTGCAATCACACACCACCTAGTGCTTTAAACATATAATATTTCACCAGCACTGTGGACTGAAAGCTTTTAAATGTTACAAAATTTTTATTACGTGTGCTACAGGATATTAAGGGATGAATCTGTAGTTCTAGAGTTCAGATCATGAATATGTCTGAAGCTGCACAGCCAAATTATATTTTATAATTATATGTCAGTTATTAATATTTAGAACGGAAATACTCAAAATGGCTTAAAATTATGTTTAAATCATTATTGTGATATACTTTATATTATATTATATATTTGATTTGATATCAAGCTCAAATTAAGAAATTTAAAGTAATATGGAGAACAGAAAGTAAGATAAAGAAAATACATGGTTAAAGTAAAAGAAAATACAGTGTCATTCCACCCTGTCTTAGTTTTGTAGGTTGTACATATTCTGCCCTCTGTTGGCTAAGAAAAGCATTTTTTTTAAAAAGCAATTATTATGTCAATCAAGGACATAATAATGAGAATTTTACAATGTCTTGAACCTATTTAATGATTTGATTTTGAAAAGCATTTATACAACAAATAATGACATTTAATTGAGAGAGGCATAAGATCAGTACTAAATAAGTTTTCTCAACTAAGAAACTAAGGCAATTTAAAGTGAATGTTTCAATGGCATAAAAGGAAGCAGCTTCTGTGGTTGTGCAAGTCTAAACAATTGCTTGGAGTTCCCAGAAAGGGAAAGACAAAAAACAATAGAATATATTGAAAGAATTGCCACTTATACTTCACAGGTCTTTATAAAGAGGGTCAAAATAACAAAATAACAGAAACATCAAGCAATATTAAGGACCTATTAAGGAGTAAGACCACCCTTTGCCCTTGAACAGTCTTGGAATGCTGCAAGTTCTGAACTGTGTTTATGAGGGAATAAATTAAGCACATATAAATCAAAGATCTCTGCTTCAGAGCTACCCATAAAGTGTCAGTGATGTTTACAGCATGTCTAGGGATTAGGGAGGACATGGAAAGCATGACTTCATTCTCAATCTCCATTCCTAGGAAAACATTGGACCTTATGATCCCATTAGATGGATGTAAAGATGTAAATTGTGGGTTGATGTGTGTGCGTGTATATATAAATAAATATATACAGTGGGTACGGAAAGTATTCAGACCCCCTTACATTTTTCACTCTTTGTTATATTGCAGCCATTTGCTAAAATCATTTAAGTTATTTTTTTTTTCCTCATTAATGTACACACAGCACCCCATATTGACAGAAAAACACAGAATTGTTGACATTTTTGCAGATTTATTAAAAAAGAAAGACTGAAATATCACATGGTCCTAAGTATTCAGACCCTTTGCTCAGTATTTAGTAGAAGCACCCTTTTATATCGAAATATCGCAATATGCATATCGCTACGGCTTGCAATATTTGGGGCCATGAACAAAAGACAAAGAGAAAATCACTCACTGCTCTTACCTAAATAACTTTTGTAGCTTAATTAAATAAGAATCAGTGCATATTGAATTCATAAATACTAAGCAGTGTTGCATTTTTCCTTTTTATTATTCAGTTCCTAAACTCGTGTTAAAATGACATTTTTATGTAATGCTAGAGTAAAACACTACCGTTCACTTTCAGAAGTTGTTGTAGGGGTGCTTTCTTCTCACAAAAAGTGAAACATGTATGCTAGTTATATTAGAATCAAAATCAGAATGAGCTTTATTCACCACTTAAGTGTGCGCAAACACAAGGAATTTGTTGTGGTTTTACAGGAGCTCTTGATACATACATACATACGAATAACCATATATGTATATGACACAAGATAGTTACAGAAGTTCACAGAACTGACTCAGCAACAGCTGAGTAAAACTGTTTCATCTGAGCATGTGGCACTTTAAGCATTATCGTATCGCATATATTGTACGCATATATTATTTAATGAGTTATCGCATATCACATTTTTTTATATATATATATTCTTTATATATATATATATATATATATATATATAGGTCGATCAATATATGGTACAGTTCACAGCAAATTTATATTTTCTGAATTGCCATGTAAAAGAATATGACATTTTAAACAGGATGGAAATGACAGACGGCCAAAATAGCCTCTAAAAGCCCAGCACAAAATGAGTTTTTGTATCATCTTTTTTTGGTTAGCTGTTTACTCATACATATCCTACCCTAACATTATAATATAATATAATATAACTGACCATTTTACTTTATTATTTTTCATGATTTTCCATTATTACTGCATGGGTTTTTACTATAACAACAATAAATTTAGTGCTAACAGTGCTATATTACCATGGTTCCTTCATTATATTATATTATATTATATTATATTATATTATATTATTTCAAACAAATGTCCGTTTTTATGGTTTATATCATAAACAGAATACAAAAATGCTTAGGTTGCATATTATTCCACTATCTTGTAGCATAAAAAGGGTCTCATGTTACCTTTAGATGATGCTAAGCCTTCTTCCCGTGTAAGCGTTAGTGTAAAGCAACCAGTTTTTCTCAGTAAACGTAATTCTTTGTGGTTGTTCTGTAATCATGAACATAGGCTGAGAAGATATTATATCAAACCTGCCATAAAAACGTAGGGAAGTACATGGTTATGGAAATTGGCTTTGATTGGGGCAATTTCAGTTTACAGTTAACAGCTTAATAATCAAATTGAATGCAAATAATTCAGCAACAGAGAGACATTCAGCTGAGAGTAGACGAGATTTCACAGCTACTTCACCGCCTACATAGTCTGTTGACAAAAATATCATAAGAAAGTGACTGCAGAATGACTGGTATTCCCCACCCCCAATGCAAATGCAACATATTGCTTTATCATATTTAAGAAAAAAATAAACAAAAATACGCCTTTTTCATTACTAATACACTTTAAATAATTTTTTTATATACAATAAAAAACAAGAGTATATTTCCATTTGATTTAAATTGTTTGCTCTAAATAATAAACAGAGTATTGCATATTCATAAAATAAAATAAACAAATATATATGAATTCTATTTTTATATAGGTAAATCACTGCAAGATTTGCGTGTATATGAACATTTGTGCTTTAATAACCAATTTAAACCAAAATGTAATACCTCAGCTTCTTGCATTCCAGCGAGGGAATCTGACTTCTCGCGGGATCCTCCCGATGAAATATCGCGGAGGTAAATCTAAGAAAGGTGGAGACTTCGGGATAACTTCCTGCACAGTACTCTCAAGAATCATACCTCATACTTAAACGACAGGCCGACATCAAAACCAAGTCGAATGGATTAGTAGCGCAAATAAACTCGTTAACAAGCACTTCACCCTCACGATTCCACGCATAAGTAGGATTTACCGCTAGCATCCAGCCTGCTAGCTAACATCAGCTACCAGGACGGCAGATTGTACACATCAGATCAAGACGGTTTCGTATCGGAGGACAGTATGGGTGAGTTAAACTCGCTTCTTATGGATCAGTTACAGTGTCACTTCGCGTTTCAGTTTCCAATGAAACAGCGCGAGCGAGTCACCTAAGCGTCATTTTAAAAACAAGAAACTGCATCCAAGTTGAATAAACAAAAAAAAATGTGTGAGCAGATGAATATTTGTCTAGGCGCCAGTGTCGTAAACTGGCTTGACTTGTCCAAACCAGTAAATTCCAGGCGTTTTGCGTCAAGAGCAATGACTCCCTGTTGTGCTACTAGTGTATTATGTTTACCTTTTTGGATGTAAGTGGCTTTGACGTCGTTTGATTGTTTTTGAAGCAGTTTGTACTAGTTGCTGTGGCTCAATTCCAAGGAAGCCCCCTTAAAGGGTTAGTTCACCCAAAAATGAAAATTGTGGCATTAATTACTCACCCTCATGTCGTTGTAAACCCGTAAGACCTTCGTTCATCTTCGGAACACACATTAAGATATTTTTAGTGAAATCTGAGAGCTGTCTGACCCTGCATAGACAGCAACGCAACTGAAATGTTCCCAAGTCCATAAACGTAGCAAGGAGATCTGTAGAATAATCCATGTGACATCAGTGGTTCATCAGCAATTATACGAAGCTACGAGAATACTTTTTGTGCGCAAAAGAAAAAAAACCCCACTTTATTCAACCATTCCTCTCCTCCGCATCACCCTGGTGCCATTTTGGAGAATATCCGCTGGATGTCTGTGTCAGCTGCATCCCGCCGATATGTTGTTTCCGTTCAGATCAATTCACAACAACGTAGGAAACAGATCCGGTGTGACGTAGCTGACACAGAACTGCATACGTCCAGCGGATATTCTCCAAAATGGCACCAGGGTGATGCGGAGGAGACAAATTGTTGAATAAAGTATTTTTTTTCTTTCTTTTGCACACAAAAAGTATTCTCGTAGCTTCGTATAATTGCGGATGAACCACTGATGTCACATGGATTATTTTACAGATCTCCTTGCTACGTTTCTGGACTTGGGAACATTTCAGTTGCATTGCTGTCTATGCAGGGTCAGACAGCTCTCAGATTCCATCAAAAATATATTTATTTGTGTTCCAAAGATGAACGAAGGTCTTACGGGTTTGAAACTACATGAGGGTGAGTAATTAATGACAGAATTTTCATTTCTGGGTGAACTAACCCTTTAAAGGTGTACTCCGTTATTTTCGCTGATGTGTACAATTTTATATTTAAAGAAATAAAATGCACTTTTGACAGATCTCATTACAATGATATGCACTCAAATACGATGGAGAGTCCAAACCATGTCAGTTTTCTAGAAAAAGCAGTTTTATTTAAAGGGGTCCTATTATGCTTTTTTACTTTTTTAATTTTAGTCAGTGTGTAGTGTGTATGTTTGGGCATAAAAAAGATCTAGAAAGTTACAAATCTCAAAGTCCACTCCAAAGGGAGATATTTAGTTTTTAAAAAATTTTCAAGAACTACAGCAAACGGCTCGTTTGGACTACAGCGTTTGGTTTCCGGGCTTTATGATATCACAAAGCGGCCCATTAGAATTTCATTACAAAGAATTCCCAACTACAGAAATTCGAATGGTTGGGGGGTGGGGAGGGGCGAGGTTGTGGTTAGAATGCTTGGTTGAGTGAGCGCATGAGACGAGACGACGAAGAAGAGCTGTTGCAGAGTTCGTGCATCAGAGAAAACTAAGAAGAAGAGCTGCTGTGCTGTAGCCTCAAATTTTTGGCATGTCTAGAACAGC